TTCCACTTGAAGTTCTTCTCTGCTGATATTTGATAAGTGTGACTTGAACAAGTATTCCCTCCTGGAACTCTGACAAAGAGAGAAAAACTTCAAGAGGAAGCATCTTTGTTAGAAATTCAGTTCTAGTAGAATTAGCCACTGGTGAGAAACATCCCCACATAACAAATACTGAGTCGAACACAGCAGTGCACTACAGTATGTGCAGGTTATTGTCATCACTCTACATGATTTCTAAGTGTTACAGCCTTAAAATGTTTGGACCCATTGCTACCTGGTATCAGTGCTGTGGTGAGTCATTGTGTCTACTGGAGAATACACTAACCTGTAGAACATGCTGTATGTCCTGTTTCCAGCCAGTAGCTGCAGGCTCAGGGATCCCGGAAATCAAAAGTTACTTGAACGGAGTGAAGATTCCTGGAATCGTCCGGCTGAGAACTTTTCTCTGCAAAGCTGCTGGAGTCCTGTTCAGTGTGGCTGGAGGTAAAGTACAAGTACAATATGTAACGTGTACAAGAGAAATGTTACTTGACTGAAGTGGCTGACAGCAGACATTCTGCCATTCATGTGAAACTCAAGCACACATGAAATAATACTGTACGGAGGGTCACCGTCAGCTCACAGCTACGAGCAGAGTGTCCTTTTATCAGGATGTGATGTCGCAGATGAAATGAAGACGCAGAGCCGTCATTTATGTACTGTACCTGCATCAGTGATGAGCAGGTGGGTGGACAGTGCCTCTGACTCAGTGTGTGTCCACTCAGGTCTGTTTGTGGGGAAAGAAGGTCCGATGATACACAGTGGAGCCATTGTGGGAGCTGGCCTTCCTCAGGTACACCGCCACACATCCGCAACACTGATGAGTACAACTCATTCTACTGCTCATGCTGAGATTACATTTATTTTTCAACTCGTAGTATGTACATATGTCTGAAATGACACTGTTAAGATTTTAGGGTTCATGTGTCTGATTGTGTATGTATACAGTAAATATAACCTTTATTTCGGCATGTAAGATCCCTGAATATCCAACTCTCATTTCCTCAGGACACCGCACACAAGATAGCAGCACTACACTTTTAAAAAAAATACTACAGTATATTATATTACAAAGTTAGTAAATAAAATAAAATAGAGCACCTAGCTTTTCTACTTAACGTTCCCATGAACAGGATTTCAAAAATGTCCAACTTTGGCATGTCTTAAAGGATTCGCAAGTGTTCAAGGTTGTCTTAAAACAGTCACATGAAGAGTGAAACAGGTGTTACCTGCTGTAGTTATTCCTCCTGTTCATACTGGCCATGAACCCATCCTTTCCTAACGCACTTTCACTGTAAGAATAATGACTGTTACAGAGGAACCAAAACCCCAAAGCACCTTCTTCAGGTGAGAACTAATGCATATGAGAATTCAGATCCAGATCACGACATTGGAGTACAAAGTATTTGGATTCTACATATTGTGTTATAAATAAGCATAGCGACTGCCCTCTGTTGTTTGAAATTCGGCTATTGCAATAGAATTTTGCTATTGGCTGACCTGGAGGCAACTTTTGTCACCAAGCGACTAGCATAAGCTAAAATGTTAAAACTAGCGTAGACCAAGCCCAGCAGCTCATGTGGTGTTTGTTCTGTAGCATGAAAGCATGGTGGGATTATGCTAACTAGCCAGCCACGGAATGGGTATAAACATAATACTTCATCCACACACTCACGTCACAGCGTATCACCAGATAATCAGTCCATACGCCCCCCCCACACACACACACACACACACACACAAACGCACTAACGCACTGTGCCCATATTGATTTTTTTTTTTACCTTCTCAATGTTTTTTTTAGTTTTTTTAATTCCAAGGTAGAGGCACTTCAGCCAAAGCTCTGGTGCTTAGTTGCTCTTTAAATGGTTAAACAGACACTGATATTGACTCGTATCATGGCTGAAGTGTGCTCATCACAAATGTTCTCCCTCTACCAGTTTCAGAGCATCACTTTCAAGAGGATCAAATTTGATTTACCCTACTTCCGCAGTGACAGGTATGGCTGCGCTTCACCGTTATTAACAAAACACTGTCCACTGCTTCCCCAGAAGTCATAATATGGGACAAATATTGTCAAGCATAGCTCATCGTGTTGTCTTTTCTGATTTTCAGGGACAAGCGAGACTTTGTGTCAGCGGGTGCTGCTGCTGGAGTAGCTGCTGCCTTTGGTGCTCCTATAGGTGGCACGCTCTTCAGTCTGGAGGAGGGCTCCTCTTTCTGGAACCAGGCCCTCACTTGGAAAGTGGTACGTCACCTCGTCCAATGAACACCAAGAGGGTCGAAACGTTTTGTTCTTCCTGCTGACTCTGTAGTTTTTAGTAACGCTAGTGGAATTGGTCGGTGCAAGTGTCACTAAATGAGTACTCTATGCAGAGGCTAATGATCCACATCAAGAACTGATCATCTATCAGCAAATATACCTCCATCATGAAGCAAACAAACCTCAGTCTGTCAGCTATACAGTTACATAGCACCAAGTACTAACTGTAGAGCAGGATTCAGTCTTTTCCTTCCTCGGCTCTTCTGTTACATCTTGTTTCAGCTCTTCTGTTCCATGTCGGCCACCTTCACTCTTAACTTCTTCCGTTCTGGGATCAACTTTAACAAGTGGGGCTCCTTCCAGCTGCCTGGTCTGCTCAACTTTGGAGAGTTCAAGGTAACGAGTCCATCGCTGCAGTTACCTCTTAATTTAATTCAAAATGTCTGTGGAAATGTGTGGTTTGTATTCATTCAAGTAATCCTATAACTATTCAATGTTTAATGATGACAAAAAACTTATATTTTAATAAGATACAAATCTATTGTCAACCCAACTTTAACCTTCTCATTCCTCCACAAATACTGGAACATGTTGTCTCCTCTTATTTAATAACCCACCATCTCCTCAAAGTTCACCCTCTGGTCTAAAAACAGTTACATTAGTGCAAAATAAATATTACAAAATATAAAGATAACACAAAACAGTAAAATATAACAAACTGAGCTTATGATTTTAATTTGGTACAGATTTATTATGTGTTTGTGTGCATGTATGTAAGTGTATTGTGAGTGAGTCATGTATTAAAGGGACAGGGTGTAACATTTAGGGGGG